AAGGTTCATTGGTTTAGTCCGGTTTTTTTTTTTTTGCTTCATCATTTTTTGTTTTTGATTCTCATTTTCTTTGTTTCTTCAGGGTTTTCTTTGGTTTTTCTATTTTTTGTTCTTTTTTTCACATGTTTTCTTCATTTCTGTCACAACTTTGACTCTTTTTTTTCCTTATTTCTTTCTTGGTTTTCACTAGGTTCTTTTGCTTTCCTTTCTTTCTTCATTTTACTTTGCCTTTTTTCTTGGTTTTCTTTGTTTTTTCTTGGTTTTCTTGCTAAGAAAAGGAATAAATCACCCAAGCTTTGTCATCGATCCTAAAAAACCTAGAGAAATAATAGGACACTGAGAGGTCTACAACCTACACGTAATCACTGTTCTTCTACAAGTGGTCGTTGTTGTAGACAATTTCAGACAACTTATTAAGCGGTTAGAGAATATACTTCTATATTCTCTTAACTTTCCTTACAACTCAAAATTCTCATCTTTTATTTAGATAGAACAACTAAGATGCCCCAAAACCTCAAAAGCGCTTCGGTACAAACAAGAAAGCAATCTGTAAAATGATATAACTATGAACGGGTTGTGGACCGCGAACATCAGCCCCGACTTGGGTGCGGAAGCCTTACAGGAGTTCCTACGTCTTTGGTAGAGGATTCAAACTTGGGAGCTGGTGGCAAATGTGCCGGACAGAACCACTTGGTCTTGGGAGACGAATGGCAAGTTCAAAGTGAGATCAGCGTACGTAGCCAGGTTCTGGGGCAGGGAGGTTATATCCACGGCAGAGTTGACTTCGAAATCGCGAGCTCCGTCACAATGCAAATTCTTTACTTGGCTTGCACTCCACAATAGATGTTGGATGTCGGATCGCCTTGCCAGGAGAGGATTACCGCATCAAGACAAGTGTCCTCTATGTGATCAAGAGGAAGAAACAGTAGGCCATGTGTTGCTAACATGTTTCTTTGCCAGGACGACATGGGTGGCCGTCTGTCAGGCATTGGGGAAGCCAGACTGGATGCATGACTCCCTCGAACCATCGCTATGTAGCAAACAAGGACTAAGCACCATGAGCAGAAAAGATCTTCACACTTTCCTCTTGCTAACGATGTGGGAGTTGTGGAAGCATAGGAACGCCATTGTGTTTGATGGAGCCTCGCCATCGATCGGTCTTCCATGCGTAGAATCAAATCCGAAGGCAAGATTTGGTAGATATCTGGACTTGTGAAAGGGAACGCCGATTTTGCGATTTTGTGTTTGCGGACTTAGAAGGGTGGAGC